AAAATAAAAAAATTTAAAATTTAAATTTTTAAAATTTTTTTTTAAAATTTTTATTTTTTAAAAATTTTAAAAATAATTTTTTAAATTTTACCCCGGGGAAGTAAAAGGGTAAGAAAAGTTTAAAGTAAAACTAAAAGAAAGGTTTGATGGAGATTTAAAAAGTTTTTTTTGGGAGTGGCCCCAAAAACAGAAATAAAAGGGAGGCCCCCCAAAAATTTACTAAAAAGGTCCCCCAATTTTAGGGGAACAGGGAAGAGGGTTTTAAAAAAAAAGCTAAGTTTTAAAAAGCTAGGGGATGACTGGAATAGGGGGAAAGGGGGCCCAAAAGGAAATCGCTGGGGAAAAAAAAAAAATTTAAACCCTTTGAAAAAAGTAGACGGAAAAAGGAATTTTGGGAATTTGGCAAGGAGGAAAAATTTTTTAAAACAGGGTGGACAAGGAAAAAAAGTATGGGGAGTAGAAGAAGGGAGGTAGGGGAAGGAGAAGGGGGAAAAAAAGTGAGTTGGGAATAGATGGAAGTAAAATTTGTTAGAAAAGAAATATGGGGGGTTTACCTGGGAAGGGGGCGGGTGAAGGGAAGAATAGGGGGTAGGGGAAAAAAGGGAAAAAAGGGGGAAAAATTTAAAAACGCATGAAGAAAAATTTTGAAATTAAAACGGGGCCCAAAGTTAAGATTTTGGGGATGAACGTTTAAGTGGGGTTAAAAGGGAGGAGGGAAAAGACCCAAAAAACCTAGATTAAACTTTTTTTTTTGTTTTTTTCCCCCCCCCTGCAGGCCAGGAGAGAAAGGAAGAGCTAGTGAAAATTTGGATAGATCTGATTTGAAAAGAAAAAGGTTGGGGGTAAAGAAAAGGGAAATATTGAAGTAAATTTTGGAGAAGGGGAAGGGTAAACAAGAGAAAAGGGGAGAAGAGAAATTGGGTATTTAAAAACTAATTAGACCAAAAAGGGAGACTGGAGAAAAACAAGATAAGAGAAAGGGGAATAAAGTAGGGATAGAGAAAAGGGGTAAGAGGCTAAACCTTTCCTGGGGTTTTTAAACAAAAAAAGTTTTAATGGGAGTAGGAAAAGGGTTTAGGCAAATAAAGAAGGGGAATTTTTGGGAAAAATAGGGGAAAATAAGTAAAAAAATTTTAAGGGTAAAAGCGGGAAAAAAACTGGGTTAAAAAGGGTAAACCCCGGGGAAAAAAAAAAAAAAAATTTTGCCCCGGCAAAATTTCCCCTGGTTATCCCCCCTTTGATATTTGTTTGACTTTTCCCCCTTAGGGAAAAAATTCCTCCCTCCCCCTTTTATTTTTCCTCCCCCTTCCTTTTCACCCCCCTCCTTCCTTTTCTTCCCCCTCCTTTTTTTTCCCCCCCTTTTCCTTTTACACCCCCGGGGTTCCTGTTTTACCCCTCCCTTCCCCTTTTTTCCCCCTGTTTCGGTTTTCACCTCCCCCTTCCGTTCTTTTTCCCCTTTTGTTATTTCCCCCCTTTTCCTTTTTAATTACTTTCCCCTCCGGGGACTACCTAGGCCCTTGTTACCCCCGCCCCGGGCTTACCCCCCCCTTCTTTTTCTTCCCCCCCTCCTTTTCCCCCCTTTTTTTACTCCTCTTTCCCCCATTTTTACTTTCCCTACCTTTTTTCCTCCCCCCCCTTTCACCTCCTCCCCCCATTTTCTTCCACCCCTTTTCTTACCCCCTCTTCCTTTCTTACCTCCCTCCTTAAATTTCTTTTCCTCCCTTCTTTTCACCCCCTCCTTCCTTTCCCCTTTCCCCCCTTCCAAAACCCCTTCCCCTCCTTTTCTGCCCCTTCCTTTCTTTCTTCCTCCCCCCCGGTCCCCTTTCCCCTCCCCACCTTTTTCCCCCTCCCCCCCCTTTTCCCCCCTTTTTTTTTTCCCTTTTCTTTTTTTTCCCTCCTTTTTTTCTTTCCCCTTTTTTTTTCCCCCCCACTCCTTTTTCCCCCTCCTTCCCCACACCCCCCTTTTTTCCCACAAAATCCCTCCCCTTTCTTCCTCCATTTTCTTTCCCCTTTCCCCCCCTTCCTTTCCCCCCCTCCTTCCAAATTTCCCCCCCCCGATTCCCCCCCCCTTTTTTTTCACCCCCCCCTCCCCCCCCTCCCCCACCCCTTTCACCCCCCCTTTTTTTTTACACCCCCCCCCCCCTTTAAAACCCCCCCCTCCCTTTCCTGTTTTTTTCCCCTCCTTTCCTTTCTTCCCCTCCCCCCCCCTTTTTTTTCCCCCATCTTTTTCCCCCCCTTCCCCCCCTTCTTCCCCCTCCTTCCTTCTTCCCTCCTCCCTCTTCCAACTTCCCCCACTCCTCTTTATTTTCCCCCTCCTTCCCTTTTTTTCCTCCTTTTTCCCCACACCCCCTCTTTCCCTTCTTTGCCTCCCCCCCTTCCTTTTTTCCCCCTCCTCTTTTCTTCCTCCTTCCTTTCCTCCCTCTTCCTTTTTTCCCTCCTCTTTTCCTTTCTTACCTCCCTCCCCCTTTTTTTCTCCTCCCTCCTGTTCCTCCTCCTCCCTTTCTTTTTTTTACCTCCCCCCCACTTTTTTCCCCCCTTTCCTTCCCTTTCTTCTCCCTCTTTTTTTTTTCCCCCCTCCTTCCTTTTTTTTCCTCCCTCCTTCCTTTTTCTTCCTCCTTTCCCTTTTCCCCCCTTTTTAAATTTCCCCCTCCCCCTTTTCTTTTTTTTTTTTGTTTCTTCCCCCTTTTTTCCCCCCTTTCTCCCCCTTTTTTTCCCCCCTTCTCCCCCCTTCCTTCTTTTACCCAAACCCCCCCAAACAAAATAAACCATTTTTTTTTCTTCAATTCCCACAAAAAAAATTTTCCGACAAAAATTTTCACATCCAAAAAGGGGCGCCTTTTCGGTAAAATTTCCTTTTTAAATAAAATTTTAATTTAAAAATCCCAAAATAAAAACAAAAAAACCTAAAAAATTTAAAAACTAAAAAAAACAAAATAAAAAAAAAAAAAAAAAAAAAAGTAAAACAAAAAAAATAAAAAAAACAAAAGAAAAAAAAAAAAATTTTTAAAAAAAAAAATTTTTCTAAAATAAACGGGGAAAATGGGAAATTTAAAAATAAAAAAAATAAAACTTTAAAAAAAAATTTTAAAAAAATAAAATTTTAAAAATAAAAGAAAAAAAAAATTTTTAAAAAAAAAAGCCAAAAAAAAATTTTAAAAAATTTTTTTTTAAAAAAAAACTAAAAGGGAATTAAAACTTTTGAACTGGGGGTAAAATTTTAAAAAATAAAACTGGGGGAAAAAAACTAAAAAAAAAAAAAAAAAAAAAAAAAAAAAAAAAAAAACCCAAAAAATTTTTTTTTTCTTTTAAAAATTTTTTCCTTTTTTAAAAAAAAAAAATACTTTCCAAAAATTTTTTCAAAAAAAAAAATTTTAAAAAAAAAAAATTTTTTTTAAAAAAAAAAAAATTTTTTAAAAAAAAAAAAAAAAAAAAAAAAAAAAATTTTTTTAAAAAAATTTAAAAAAAAAAATAAAAAAGTAAACAATAAAAAAAAAAACAAAAAAAAACAAAATAAAAAAAACAAAAAACTAAAAAAAAATTAAAAACAAAAAAAACTTAAAAAAAAAAAAACTAAAAAAATAAAAAAACTAAAATAAAAAAAAAATAAAACAAAAATAAAAACAAAAAAAAATTTTAAAAAAAAAAAAACCCTAAAAAAAAAAAAAACCCCCCTAAAAAAACCCCCCCAAAAAAAAAACCTAAAAAAAAATTTTAAAAAACCCCCCCTTTAAAAAAAAAAAAAAAAAAAAAAAAAAAAACCCCCTTTAAAAACCCCCCCCCCCCCCCCAAAAAAACCCTAAATTTAAAACCCCCCCCCCCCCCCAATCCCCCAAAAACCCCCCCCCCCCCTTTATTGGGGGTTTTAAAACCCCCCCAAAAACCCCAAAAATTTCCCCTAAATAAACCCAAATTACCCTTTTAAAAAGCTAAAAAAACCCCCCAAAAACCCCCCCAAATTAAACCCCCTAAAAAACCCCCCCCAAATTTTAAAAAAAAAACCCCCCCCCCTAAAATTTCCCCCCCCCCCCCAAAAAAAAAATAAACCCCCCCAAAAAACCCCCCCCCCCCTTTAAAATAACCCTAAATTTCCCCCCCCCCCCCCCCAAAACCCCCCCCCCCTTTTAAATCCCCCAATAAAATTTTTTAAAACCCCCCAAAAAACCCCCCAAAAGCCCCCCCCCCCAAAATAACCCCCCCTACCCCAAAAAAACCCCCCAAAATAAAACCCCCAAATTTTTCCCCCCATTTAAAAACCCCCCTAAAACCCCCCCCCCCCCAAAATTCCCCCCCCCCCCCTAAAAAAAAACCCCCAAAAATAAACCCTTTAAAAAAAAAAACCCCCCCCCCCCCCCAAAAAAAACCCCCCCCCCCCCCCCAAAAAAACCCCCCAGGGGCCCCCCCCCCCCCAAAAAAAAAAAAACCCCCCCCCCCCCCCCAAAAAAACCCCCCCCCCCCTAAAAACCCCCCCCCCCCCCCCCCCTTTAAAAACCCCAAAACCCCCCAAAATTTAATAAAAAATCCCCCAAAAATACCAAAAAAAAATCCCCCCCCTAAAAAAACCCCCAAAAAAACCCCTCCCCCTCCCCCCCCCTCCCCCCCCCCCTTTTCCCCTCCCCACCCCCCACCCCTCCCCCCCCCCCTCCCCCCCTCCCCCCCCCCCCCCCCCTTTCCCCCCACCCTCCCCCTCCCCCCCCCCCCCACCCCCCCCTTTTCCCCCCCAAAACCCCCCCCCACCCCCCCCCCCCCCCCAAAAAACCCCCCCACCCACCCCCCCTTTTAAAAACCCCTTCCCCCTTTTTCCCCCCCATCCTCCCCCACCCCCCCCAAACCCCCCCTCCCACCCCCTCAGTCCCCCCTCCTCCCCCACCTCCCCCCCAAACCCCCTCCTCCACCCCCCCCACCCCCACCCCCACCTCCCCCCCCCCCCCCAAAACCCCCCACCCCCTCCACCCCCCCTCCCCCACTCCCACCCCCCCCCAAACCCTCCCCCCACCCCCCTTTCCACCCCCTCCCACCCCTCCCACCCCCCTCCCCCCTCCCCACCCTCCTCCCCTCCCCCCCCCTCCACCCCCCCCCACCCCCCCTCCAACCCCCCACCCCCCTCCTCCCCCCCACCCCCACCCCCCCCAAAAAACCCCCCCCCACCCCCTCCCACCCCCCCTACCCCCCAAACCCCCCCCCCCCTCCCCTCCACCCCCCCCCACCCCCCCCCACCCTCCTCCCCCCCCCCCTCCCTCCCCCCCCCACCCCCTCCCCCACCCCCCCCACCCTCCCCCACCCTCCCCCCACCCCTCCCCACCCTCCCCCCACCCTCCCCCCACCCCCCCCCCCCCCTCCCCACCCCCCCCCCCCCCCCCACCCCCCCCCCACCCCCTCCCCACCCCCCCCTCCACCCCCCCCACCCCCCCCCCAAACCCTCCTTTTTCCCCCCTCCTCCTCCCCCTCCTCCTCCACCTCCCCCTCCCCCCTCCCCTCCACCCTCCTTTTTACCCCCCCCCTCCCCCCCCCCCCACCCTCCTCCTCCACCCTCCTCCCTCCCCCCTCCTCCCCACCCTCCCCCTCCACCCTCCCCCCACCCCCTCCCCCCACCCTCCCCCCCCCTCCTCCATCCTCCTCCCCTCCTCCCCACCCTCCTCCCCCCCTCCTCCTCCACCCCCCCCCCCCTCCTCCACCCCCCTCCTCCCCCCCCCCTCCCCACCCTTTTTCCCCCCCTCCTCCCCCCCCCCTCACCCCTCCTCCCCCACCCTCCTCCCCTTCCTCCACCCCCCCCCTCCCCCCCCACCCTCCTCCCCCCCTTCCCCCCCTCCTCCCCACCCTCCCCCTCCCCTCCTCCCCCCTCCTCCCACCCTCCTCCTCCACCCTCCTCCCCCACCCCCCTCCTCCCCCCTCCCCCTCCCCCCTCCTCCTCCACCCTCCCCTCCACCCTCCTCCTCCCCCCTTTCTCCCCCACCCTCCTTTTTACCCCCCCCCCCCTCCCCCCACCCTCCTCCCCTCTCCTCCCCCCCCCCACCCTCCCCTCCACCTCCCCTCCACCCTCCTCCTCCCCCCCCTCCCCCTCCCCTCCACCCTCCTCCCCCCCCTCCCCCCCCTTTCCACCCCCCTCCCCCACCCTCCCCTCCCCCCCCCCCCTCCTCCCACCCCCTTTTTTTCACCCCCCCCCCTCCTCCCCCCCTCCCCACCCTCCTCCCCCCCCCACCCTCCTCCCCCTCCCCCCCTTTCCCCCCCTCCTCCCCCTCCTCCTCCACCCTCCTCCCCCCACCCTCCTCCTCCACCCCCTCTACCCTCCTCCCCCACCCTCCTCCCCACCCTCCTCCCCCACCCTCCCCCTCCACCCTCCTCCCCCACCCTCCTCTCCCACCCTCCTCCCCCCCTCCTCCACTCCCCCCCCCCCTCCTCCACCCTCCTCCTCCCCCTCCCCCTCCACCCCCCTCCCCTCCCCCCACCCCCCCTCCACCCTCCTCCCCCCCCTCCTCCCCCCCCCCCCCCTTCCCCCACCTCCCCCCCACCCTCCCCTCCCCCCTCCTCCTCCACCCTCCTCCCCCACCCCCCTCCCCCACCCCCCTCCTCCACCCTCCTCCTCCACCCTCCTCCCCACCCTCCCCCCACCCTCCTCCATCCCCCCTCCTCCCCACCCCCTCCACCCTCCCTCCCCCCCCCCTCCCCTCCACCCTCCCCTCCCCCTTTCCCCCTTACCCCCCTTTTTTTCCCCTCCTCCCCCACCCTCCCCCCTCCTCCCCCCTCCCTCCACCCCCCCCTCCACCCTCCTCCCCCCTCCCCCCCCCTCCCCCCCCCCCCTCCTCCACCCTCCTCCTCCCTCCCTCCATCCTCCCCCCCCCCCTTTCCACCCTTCCCCACCTCCCCCCCCCCTCCTCCCCCCCCCTTTTTTCCCCCCTTTCCACCCTCCTCCTCCCCCCTCTCCCCCCCTCCTCCCCCCCCTTTACCTCCTCCCACCCTCCCCACCTTCCCCCCTCCTCCTCCCCCCTTTCCCCCTTCCCCCCTCCCACCCTCCTCTTTACCCCCCCCCACCCCCCCCCTATCCTCCTCCTCCCCTCCTCCTCCCCTCCCCCTTTCCCCCCTCCTCCTCCACCCCCTCCTCCCCCCTTTCTCCTCCACCCTCCTCCCCCCCCACCTCCTTCCACCCTCCTCCTCCCCTCCTCCTCCACCCCTCCTCCCCCCCCCCCACCCTCCTCCTCCACCCTCCTTTTTCCCCCCCCTCCTCCTCCACCCCCCTCCCCTCCCCTCCTCCTCCACCCTCCTCCTCCACCCTCCCCCTCCCCCTCCCCCTCCACCCTCCTCCTCCCCCTTTTTCCCCCTCCTCCTCCACCCTCCTCCCCCCACCCCCCCCCCCCTCCTCCTCCCCCCTCCTCCTCCACCCTCCTCCCCCCCCTTTCCCCCAACCCTTCCCCCCTCCCCTCCACCCCCCTCCTCCACCCTCCTCCCCCCCCTCCCCCCCAATTTTTTTCACCCTCCTCTCCCCCTCCTCCTCCACCTCCCCCTCCCCCCTCCTCCTCCACCCTCCTCCTCCACCCTCCCCCCCCTCCCCCCACCTCCTCCCCCTCCTCCCACCCTCCCCCTCACCCTCCTCCTCCACCCCCCTCCTCCCCCTCCCCCTCCACCCTCCTCCTCCCCCCCCCACCTCCTCCACCCTCCCCCCCCCCCTCCCCCTCCCACCCTCCTCCTCCCCCCCTCCCCTCCACCCCCTCCCCCACCCTCCTCCCCACCCTCCCCCCCCTCCCCTCCCCCTTTCCACCCTCCCCCCCCCCCCCCCCTCCTCCCCCTCCCCCTCCACCCTCCTTTTTCCCCCTCCTCCTCCCCCCCTCCTCCCCCCCTTCCCCTCCCCTCCTCCACCCTCCTCTCCACCCTCCCCCTCCCCCTCCCCCCCTCCTCCCCCCCTCCTCCCCACCCCCCCCCACCCTCCTCCCCACCCTCCTCCCCCACCCTCCCCCTCCACCTCCTCCCCCCCCTCCTCCTCCCCCCTCCCCTCCCCCCTCCTCCTCCACCCCCCTCCTCCCCCCCTCCCCACCCTCCTCCACCCCCCCCCACCCCCTCCTCCCCCCCCCCACCCTCCTCCTCCACCCCCTCCTCCACCCCTTTCCCCTCCCCCCACCCTCCCCCTCCACCCTCCTCCTCCACCCCCCCTTCCACCCTCCCTCCCCCCCCTTTTCCCCCCTTCCCATTTATTCCTTATTTATCCCCTCCCCCCTTTCCTCCCCCCCCCTCCCCCCCCCTCCCCCTCCTCCCCCCCCTCCTCCCCCCCTTTCCCCTCTCCCCCCCCTCTCCACCCTCCCCCTCCCCCCCCTCCCCCACCTCCTCTTCCTCCCCTCCCCCCTCTCCCCCCTCCTCCCCCAACCCTCTCTCCCCCCCTCTCCCCTCCCCCTCCCCTCCTCCTCCCCCCCCCCCCCCCCCTCCACCCCCCCCTTCCCCCCTCCCCCCAACCCCTCCCCCCTCCCCCTCCACCCCCCTCTCCCCTCCCCTCCCCCTCTCCCCACCCTCCCCTCCCCCCCTCCCCACCCCCCTCCCCCCCCTCTCCCCTCCCCTCCCCCCCTCTCCCCCTCCCCCTCCCCCTCCCCCTCCCCCTCCCCCCACCCCCCTCTTTCCCCCTCCTCTCCCCCTCCTCTCCCTCCCCCTCCCCCTCCCCCTCCCCCTCCCCCTCCCCCCCCTCCCCCACTCTCCTCCACCCCTTCCCAACCCTCCCCCTCCCCTCCCCTCCCCTCCTCCTCCCCCCTCTCCCCCCCCTCCCCCTCACCCCCCCCCACCCTCCTCTCCCCCTCCTCCTCCCCCTCCCCCTCCCCCTCCCCTCCCCCCCCCCCCCTCCCCCCCTCCCCCCCCCCTCCTCCCCCCCCTTTTCCCCCCTCCCCTCTCCCCCCCCCTCCCCTCCCCCTCCCCCTCCCCCCTATTCTTTTCCCTTTTCTTATTTCCCCCTTCCCCCCTCTCCCCCCCCTCTCCCCCTCTCCTCCCCTCCTTCACCCTCCTCCTCCCCTCCTTCTCCCTTCTCCTCTCCCCCCCTTCTCCTTTTCTCTTCCCTTTTCTTTTTTTCTCCCCTTCTCCCTCTCTCTCCTCTCTCTCTTTTCCTTTTCTCTCTCCTCTCTCCTCCTTTCCCTCCCCCCCCTCTCCCCTCTCTCTTCTTTTCCCTCCCTCTTCCCCCCCCCTCCTCTCTTCTCTCTTCTCTCTCTCCTCTCTCCCCCTTTCCCCCCTTCTTCTCCCTTCTTTTCTCTCTCCTCCCTCCCCTCCTCTCCCCCTCTTCTCTCCTCTCCCCCCTCTCTCTCCCCTCCTCCTCCCTCCTTCCTCTCCTCTTCTCTCCCCTCCTCTCCTTCCCTTTCCCCTCTCTCTCCTCTCCTCCCCCCTCTCCTCTCTCTCTCCTCTCTCTCTCCCTTTTCCTCTTCCTCTCTCTCTCCTCTCCTTCTCTCTCCTCTCTCTCTCTCTCTCTCCCCCCTCTCTCCTCTCCTTCTTCTCTCTCCTCTCTCTCTCTCCCCCTCTCCCTCCTCCCCCCTCTCTCTCTCTCCCCCCTTTCTCTCCTCTCTTTCTCTCTCTCTCTTCCTCTCTCTCTCCCTTCTCTCTCCCCCTCTCTCTCTCTCTTTTTTTTTTTTTTTTTTTTTTTTTTTTTTTTTCCCCCCTTTTTCCTTCCCTCTTTCCCTTTCTTTTTTTCCTCTTTTTCCTCTTTCCTCTCCTTTTCTTTTTCCCCCCTTTATCTCCCCCCCCCCCCCCCCCCCCCTCTCCCCCCTCCTCTCTCCCTCTTCCTCTTTTTTTTTTTTTTTTTTTTTTTTTTTTTTTCCCCGGGTTCCCCGGGTCTTTTTTTCTTTTATTTCTTTTTTTCACTAAACTTTCTACTCCTTTTTCCTTTTCTCCCCCTCTCTCTCTCCTCTCTTCCCTTTTCTCTCTCCCTCTCTCTCTTCTCTCTCTCTCTCTCTCTCTCTCCTCTCCCTCTTCTCTCTCCCTCCCCTCTCTCTCTCTCTCTCTCTCTCTCTCTCTCTCTCTCTTTTCCCCTCTCTCTCTCCTCCTCTCCTCTCTCTCCCTCATCTCTCCTCTCTCTCTCTCCCCTCTCTCTCCCCCCCCTTCTCTCTCCTCTCCCCCTCTCCTCTCTTTTGTCTCTTCTCCCTCTCTCTCCTCTCCTCTTTTCCTCTCTCCCTCTCTTTCTCTCTCCTCCTCTCTCTTCCCCCCTCCTCCTCTCCTCTCCCCCTCTTTTTTTTTTTTTTTTTTTTTTTTTTTAAAATTTTTTACAAGGTTGGACGTTTAGACAGCTTTAAATTAAAGGTTTAATTAAAAATTCCAACAAAGAGCGCCCTTTACTCACATTTAACTTTTTTGTTATAGACAAAAGTAGGGAACAGGTGAATTTGGACCATCTGGGGGCCAGCATTTTTTTTGATCAATGACTTATCTCTTTGACATATTAGCTGTACGATGTGTTCCATACTCTTTATCCTGGGTATGAGATCTCAATGGAGGTGTTTGGGAAAAGGGGACAGCCAGAGGAAGTTCTGCTTTCCCCCGTCTTGTTGGCATAAAAGCTTTTTTTCAGCTGTCCCCCGAAGTGGATCCAAGTGGGTATTTTACAAAAAAGGCCTTGTACATAACAGTAAGGCCACCCACATCCCCTATTTTTGAAGGCTCTGCTGAAATGCAGATCACCAGATGGGTCCACGAGAGATGAGACTCTTGCTCTGTTCTCTACTCTGTCAAACAGTCGCAGATGAGAGGGGGGGGCAAACCAAGAAAGTGGAGCTACTCAAGGTGTGAGCGTACTTGTGCCTCTACAGGATCTTGCAACCCCTACTGTCAAGCAGATGCAGATACGGGAAGCTGTAAAACTTCCTGGGTGCCTTGTTTGCAAAATTTACAACATGGTTCTTCATGTTTTTTGGAGTCAATTTCACCCCCCAAAGGTATCAACTTTTTTCTCCAGGTGCCAACATCGTCCCATTCATCCCTTTCTACTGCGCCAGCATTACCCTCATGTGCCTAAGACGAACACATTTGCGTTTTTTTTAGGGCAAATGTTACTTTCCATCTATTCCCCAAGTGATATAGTCTCGCTGGTGATTTATGTAGCTTAGGCAGCTGGGATTTCTTCCTTGGATAAGTGAATGTCATGTCAGTCGTCGGGATATGCATGTGATTCTGGGATGAGATGAAGAAAGGGCGTTGAAGTAGACATTCCATAAATGGACCCAGCACACTTTCCCTTTTGGGAAAGCTTGCCCCCAAAAGGATGCCTTGCTGATTCCGTTCCCATTGGGACTACACTTGAGATTTCCCGAAGTTAAACAGAGGAGACAAGCGTAGAGCCGCAATTCCCCCGTGCTGAAGTTTTGCTAAGAGGCCCTGGTGCCACCCCGTCGAAACGCCAGCAATGTCCATGCCTACCCAAGCTACTTTGGTTTATCCTACTGGTGCCCTTAGTGGGGAGGTTTAACAACAGTATCACAGAGTAACCCTTTCCTGAAGCCATATTTTACGATCACAAAGTATGAGTGGTGTCAAAAAAATCTTAATTTGTCTTAATTATTGTCTCAAGGATTTTACCAGTGATTGACAGGGGTGACACGGGGCTGTAGTTGCTGATTCTGCTTGCCTTTTTTTTGTAACAGGGGCTAAATTTTTCCTCTTTTCCCTGGAGAGGGCCATTTACACTGTATAGGCAGTGCTGAAAGAGCGAGTTGAGGTTGTAGCTGGTCTGCACTCTTCTCAACAATCTTGGGGTCAATTGCTGGGCCCCCAGCCTTTTTGGTCAAGTGATTTTAAAAAGGAAATGCCACCTCCCCTTTCCTTATTGTCACACTGACAGTTTTGACACAGTTCTTGAGCTAGCCAGGGGTCCCGCTGGATCAGGAAACTTGATTTTGGTAGCAAATGGTTTTAGCAAAGATCCGCCTTCTCTTGTACTAGTAGAGGGGTCCCTCCTGTGATTTTGGGGGTGGAAAAAGTTTTCGGCGATAACCTTGTCTGTCCTTGCCAGGGCCCCCCAGGGTTTGGAGCCTACCCTACCTGATGCTAACTTTCTTTTTTGTGTCCACCTCCCCTTTAGTAATGGCCCCTTTTGAACATCACCCAATGCCCACAGGCTTGCTGGCAAGTTCGTTTAGGTGGGAGGATGTCTCTTTACCTTCGCCCTGCTTTGTACTTACAGTCACCTCTCTACAAAAAACCAAAACCCAAAGGCTGTTTTTAGCTTTGTACAATTGCCGGGAGGAATGGTTTTTTGTTGCAGATTAAGGATGTGTCCAGTGAAGGCTTTTTACTGGGTTTTCAACATCCCCCCCGAGAAGAGCATTCCCGCGGTGGTGGCGACTCAAGCAAAGGGGTGGCCAATTACCTCTTTCCCATAGCCGGTTGTGCGTTGGACTCCTCACCCGTTCGTTTGGGGTTTAAGGGGTAAAACACCTTGTGGTCAGCGACCCAACTACCGGGGGTTGCAAATGATATGGGTTTTTTCCCCGATCCTCCTACTGGGTCAAGGGAGGAGCCCGAGAATGAGTAGGGAAATCAACAAAGTTTTCATGTCAAACCTGCAAGAAGGGGCATCAAAATCCCTCTGTTTAAGGTGCGGTTTTAGGTCACCAACCTCTCTCTCTCTCTCTTTTCCTCTCCTCCTCCTCTTCTCTCTCTCTCTCCTCCTCTCTCCTCCTCTCTCTCTCTCTCTCTTCCTTCCCCTCTCTCTCTCATCCCTCTCTCTCTCTACCTCTCTCTCTCTCTTTCTCCTTCTCTCTCCCTCCTCTCTCTCTCCCTCCTCCTCTCCTCTCTCCTCCTCTCTCTCTCTCTCCCTCTCTTCTTCTCCTTCTCTCTCTCCCCCCCCCCTCTCCTCCCTCTCTCCCTCCTTTTCTTTTCTCTCTCTCTTTTCTCTCCCCTCTCTCTCTCTTTTTCTCTCTCTCTCTCTCCTCCTCTTTTCCTCCCTTTTTCTCTCTTTTCTCTTTTCCCCCTCTTCCCCCCCTCTCTCCTCTCTCCCCTCTCCTCCTCTTCTCTCTCTATCTCTCCCCCCCTCCTCTCTCCGTCCTCTCCTCTCTCTCCTCTCTCTCTCTCCCTTCCCTCTCTCTCTCCTTCTCTCTCTCTCTCCCTCTCCTCTCCCCTCTCCTCTCTCCCTCCTCTCCCTCTCTCTTCTCTTTTCTCTCTCTCCCCTCTCTCCTCTCTCTCTCCCCCTTTTCTCCCCCCCCTCCTTCTCCTCTCCTCTCCCCCTCTCTTCTCTCTCCTCCTCCCCTCTCTCTCTCTCTCTCCTCTCTTTTCTCTCTCTCTCTCTCTTCCTTCCTCTCTCCTCCCTCTCTCCTCTCTCTCTCTCTCCTCACTCTCTCCTCTCCCTCTCTCCCTCTCTCTCTCCTCTCTCCTCTCTCTCCCCCTCTCTCCTCTTCTCTCCTCTCTCTCTCCTCTCCTCCCTTCCCAAAACCCCTCTTTCCCCTCTCCCCTCTCTCTTCTCCCTTCTCTCTCCCTCCTCTCTCCCTCCCCCCCCCCCCCCCCCCCCCCCCCTCCCACCCCCACCCACCTCCCCCCCTCCTCCCTTCCTCTCCCTCTCCCCCCCCCCCCCCTCCCTCCCCCCCCCCTCCCTCCCCCTTCTCCCCCCCCCCCTCCCTCTCCTCCCCCCCCTCCCTGCTTCCCCCCACCTCCTCTCCCCTCCCCCCCCCTTTTCCCTCTCCTCCCCTCCTTTCCCCCTCCCCCTCCCCCCCCACCCCCCTCCCCCCCTCCTTCCCCTTCCCCCCCCCCCCCTCTTCCCCCCCCCTTTCTCACCCCCTCTCACTCTCCCTTTTCTCCCTCTCTCTCTCTCTCTCTTTCCCCTCTCTCTCTCTCCCTCCTCCCCTCTTCCTCTCCTCTCTCTTCCCTCCTCCTCCTCCT